CTCTCATGACCTTCAACAATTATTCCATTCAAAAATCGGGAAGAGCTCCCTAGGGAGGTCGGTTTTTCTTTCTTTGCTTCTCTCTATCTCTATTTCTCTCTCTCTATCTCTCTCCTTTTAATAACTTCTCCGCGATGACCGCCCAGTTATTCTGAATCCACAACGATCTTCCCTCATCTAAAGACGGGGATGCCCCTATTTTCTTTCTTTTTTGGGCATCGTGCGTTCCTTATTAGCTGGGGCTATTTTGCAGCTCTCCTCGTTTCCGCTTTTCCGCTCTGGGTATTTAGCCTGGGATTTCTTGTCAACAGCCAATCCCACAAATTATTTGGGGCCACGAATCGGGGGAAATTATCTGCGGGGGCAAGCAAAGATTGTTCTTGCAAATTCGCAGATGTCTCTCTCGCTCTCTCTTTCTCGCTCTCACTCACTCTCTCTCGCTCTCTCACTCACTCCTTCTCGCTCTCTATCTATCGCATTCTCCCTCGCTCTCTCACTCTCTCTCTCTCCCCCTCTCGCTCTCTCTCTATCTCCCTCTCTCTTCCAGGTATTTTACACTTGCTCTAATCTCAGCGAGACAGTACGTCTAGACCAATTTTTGCACTCCGTAATTTCCCCAAGAATCCATGCAATCTCCCGTTTCCCCCGTTTGATCCCCGAACCCCTCCTTCAATAGACACAAAACCGTTTTCTGATCCCTCCCTCCAAAAAAGCCAGAAATATGGGTGGGGGTGGAATGAATTGTTTAGGGGAAAAAGGCAAAATACCCTTGCCCTCAGAAGGCAATTATAGGATTGTGGGACACATCGGATTATCTCCCCCCTCGGTTCCGCTTCCAAACCCTCAACATCCACAAATAAATTTTGTAGTTGACGCTCTCACGGTCATTTTTGGGGCTACTCGAAAAAGATGTGTTTTCCCTCTCCAAAACACCACTAATGACGCAAGGCTTACGGGTCAGCGGTACGCTAAGCAAAGGTCCATCGACATGGAAACCAAGGCTAAACCCAAGACTAAGCCTTGACCAAGCTAAGCCTAAGCCTGCGCCTAAGCCTAAGTCTAAGCCTAAGCCTAAGCCTAAGCCTAAGCCTAAGCCTAAGCCTAAGCCTAAGCCCAAGACTGAGCCGAAGCGAAGTCTTAGCTTAGGCCTGACCGGTCCCTTTAATGCCCAGTTGTCCTAAATAAACATCTCTTCTTTTTGCCATTCCCATCACCAGCACCATACCTACAAAATAATCAAAAATTAGTGCATTTTAGCTTTCCTTGGGGTTATGGGAGCGAGAGAAAAAGAGAGAGAGGAGAGAGAGAAGAGATATTCTCACCCCTCCCCAAAAAAACCCCTGCTAAATCAGACTACATCTAATTCCCTTTCCGCCAATTCAAATATTAATCCAGCGCCGAACATCGAAAAATTCGCATGTTTCGACCCAGCCCCTCGAATTCCGCTCGAACCCAAATTCCAATCAACTGGCAGGGCAAAGTGGAGGAAGCCCCTAAAATGAGAGCAATGATGAGGCGCGCGCCGAAATTTACAGGGTTTCACCAATTTCCTTCGCCCCCAGCAATCTAGTCGGAATTCGTGAAGCGCGGATCTCCTTGGAATTCTGTCTGTTTCATCGATCAGATTATTATTATTATTTTGAATCAAAAGTGAACATGAAAATTGGTTTAGGCAATTCGAGATATTTGGTACGCCTTGGAGTCGATGGTCTCAGAATTTTCGAGCTTTTCAAATAAGACTCCTGACTTCCGAGCTATAGGTCTGAAGCTGAAGCCTAAGTCTAAGTCTCAGCCTAAGCCAAGCCTAAGCAAAGTCTTAGCTTCATCCTAAGCCTAAGCCTAAATCTAACCTAACGCAAGCTTAAGCTTCAGCCTAAGCCAAGCCTAAGCCTTCGCCAAGTCCAAATTGAAACCTATGCCCAAGCAAACTCTAAGCTCAACCTAAGCAAAGCCTAGGAGTAATCCTGAGCATAATACTGAGCTTAAGCCCAAGCCTAAGCCAACCGAAGCCTAAGCTTAAGCCCAAGCCTAAGCCAAGCATAAGCCTAAGCCTAAGCCTAAGCCTAAGCCTAAGCCTAAGCATTATAAGTCAATCCCTTCAAGTACGTTTCCGGTATGCAAAAATACCAACTACGTGTCAGCACCCCCATAAGTGCTTTGCCGTAACTTTAACACGCAAAACCACCGATTTCCACGAATTCCCAGTTGGTGCCTGGGAGAAAGTTAAGCGCCGGCCGCGATTTTCGATTGTTTTCCAAGGCGTAGCATGCAGAAACGTTGCTTTTAAATTCTTTTAAAGCGCCTAGGCTTAAGAATTTTTAATAATACCGCGTTAAATAATTCGACCAATTTTCCAAAAAGCGATATCCCAACCAGATTGGTCTTTTGCCGATTTGACTTTTTGCATATGGAATAACATCGCGTCCCCGGCCTATAAAACACATGAATCTTCGCCGCCCCTATTATCTTTCCATTTCTATCGAATAAAAGAATTGTGGTATAAGAATTTATTACAGCCCCCCCCCCCCCCACACAATGGCTAGCGGATTAGCGCACCTCATTTCAGATTCCTCCTCCCCCTGCCTCCCATTCTCCATCTTCGACTCACTTTTCAGCACTGATTTTTAAATTCTAATACTTTTATGGTGTTTCTCAACACATTATCGAGCTGAATTCCCAAAAAGAAAAAAACTTTTGCCGCCGCCGGGGGTCGAACCCGGACCCTGTGGGTGGCAGCCTGACACGCTACCAATCGGCCACACCAAAAAAAATTTCTGGAATGCTAGAACTTTTAGGGAAAGTATTTTGTCGGATTTTGGGTAGTTGGGTCTGTAAAAACTTGCAGGATTTAGGTTCAAACAGCGTAAAACTTTAAAAATACGGTTTTAGCAATTTTTTCGTTTTTTTTTTAGTTTTTGACAATTTTTTTGAAAATCAAATTATGAAATGGTATCATATTGAAAATAAACAATACAAAAAACCACATACAAAATTAGCAATTAGAAATGCTTGGTTTTAAGTGAAATTAAGTAAAAATTATGCCATTTTAGTTAAAACTTGTTAAAAAGTTTTAAGTAATTTTCTGTACTTAAAAATATAGAAATTCGAGTTTTAGTGGAAAACTGCTAAAAATTGTCCTTCTCTGTGCCTTTAAATGACGTTTTTTTCTCTGTGGCCGTCTGCAAATAGGTGCAGTTTGTTGTGGACGCGACCCGGTGGCCATTGAAAAGGTCTTCATTTCCTGGCTACCGCTCATAATTCAGTGTCCTCGAATAGGGCATAACCCAGCCATCGCAGGACCACAAGACAGCCCCGAATTCTCAATTAGCATCCCGAAATTTAGGGGCCTCACCACGTCGTTTTTCTTGGCCCGCTGCCAATCCTATCAAAAATCTGCTGCTCGAATTTTTGGGCGTATAAAATAGCAGCTGAATCTGCAAGAATTTGGCATTTTAGGCAATGTTTCGAAAATTCGTAAATTTTCGAATTTCGAGTTTCGAAAGTTTCGAAGAATCACAAACGGTCTTTTAAATTTCTCGTATCAAATTTTATTTACACTTTTAAGAATCTGCTTCTATCTTGGGGTCTGTTTAACAATTTTTAATTTGGCTATTTTGACGATTTGTGCCTGTATAGTCTGATACTGTGCGAAATTTTTATGGCAGCATACGGTAGTCTTTTAAAGAAATCTTTAAGCCAACCTAAAATACAGTAAAATTTGCGGATTTCTAAGGGCAACTGCCATAAAAAAAATCCCGATGAGCCGGGAACCCCAAAACGCGAAACTTCGACAGACCGAAACCTCAACACGCCAGAATCCCAACAGGTGAAATTCTAGCAGGCCCGAAATACCGACATCCAAAATCCCCACACTTCAAAAATGCCGACAGCCGGAAATCAGGACAAGCAAAAACCCCGACATCCTTCTACCGCTAGTCTCAATGCCACAGAGTTTTAAACAGCTATTTTGCATGTCGGCATTTTGGCTGTCCGTATTTTCGCCTGTCGGAATTATGATTGTCGGGATTTTGTCGCATTACCCTTCAAAGATGAAAAGGATATGCTAATTAGGCGCTTCTAAAGGGACGGCGAATGCCATCAAAAATGTGGAATCCAGTACCCCGCTATAATAACTTTAAAAATGCAACATCCAGCTTCAAACCATGCTTACATTGCCCAAAATCGAATCCGCTTATTACGATTGTTACCGAAATCTTTCACCGTGTTTTTCTGCCAATAATGAACTCTATAAAACGAACTCGATATGCCCCAAATTTGCTCTCTTTTTTATAATTTTTCCATGTCCGATATTTCGCAGGTATTTTGTTCCGTTACCGTCCATTTTGTCAGGCCAGTCCCTGCCCTGCTAATACTCGCCCCGGGAGGGTTACTGTAGCCATCGTGGCGTCGTCATCGGGAGAGGAGCTCGACGCGGCGTATGTCATGGAAGACGTCGACCCCGGGCAAATATGGGAACTCTACGGGTTACCGCATTCTAACTATTACAGGTATGGAAGGGTACTGTAAAAAGGCAAAAGGCGAGGGCGCTATTCGACGCGTTGCGGGCGCGCTGCGCGCGTATCCATGGCGTAGCGTAGCGCGCGTGGTATGTGCTGTGTCGACTTGTGTAGCAGTGCGTTGTGAATGCGTCACATACCCACAGCGCGTCCACGCGTGCCAGACACGTTACACACGCAGCCTAGCGCGCTTTGCAAAGCGCTCCACACGCGTTGCGTGCTTCCAGTCGTGTCGTAGAAGCGTGGCATTGCGTAGGTAAGCATCGCGCTCGTCAATCTCCCTAAAAGATTACTAATAAGCGAAACCGACAATCTGGTGCTCCATTCAGAATTAATGCTCCCTCTCCCCTCCAAAATCCGAATTTCCGGCCGACCCCCAAGGGCTTCCGTAAAAAAAACCACCAAACCTCGAAACCACGTACCGCCAAAAATATATAATCCGCGACTCTGGCAGGTGTGGCAGGCAGACCAATATCCCCCACTTCGGCTTTTCCTTCAAAACCCCGCACGCACACACTGATCGATGGATTCTGATGAATCACTGGTGCCCGGGCGGCCGTGGCTTTTCAGGTGAAGTCCAAGCCTAAGCCTAAGCCTA